TTTTGTGCCAATTGCCAACTGGAGTCCAGCACGTGTGATTGTACGAACGCCTCAGCAGGCGTCTTGTTTGTGTAGACCTATGTGTTGAAAGAACAATGATCTGATCCTATTACTGATATCATTATCTGCATGTCTACATGCACAACACAACACAACACAACACAACACAACACAACACACACAAAAAAACCAGGCTAAAAAAACGAGATTGCTCTGAACATATCTAATTGTTGTATCTAAGGACATCAGTCAACATATTATATGTTAAATCGGAAATGAATTGATAATTAGAATAAAGATAATTTTCTAGTATATAGCTTCAAAAAGTCACAAATAACAAGTACGTCACACTAATAAAATGCATACAATTCTGTGATTGCGCTGATAATATAGGAAATGTCCCAGCACAGAGATATGTGAATTAACGCGCCAATAAATTAAAGTTACAGCACTACTCTTCGTTTTTTGTTAAGTGGCAATGATGACCTTTTTAATTATATTGCAATATCCCTGGCATTTTACTCATGAACAGAATATAAATCTCGCTGGATTGATTTTCCCATTATTACAGCTTATAGTTATAAGCCTATATCGCCGAAAGGATGAAAAAAGCCTTCTTAAGTGATTTGTTTTTAAACCAATTAATCCCAGGCTATATAGATTATAGTATAGAATCTTTATACAAACTCTTTTCAAAATTCTTGGATCGTACAATATCTTAAACCGTACAGATACTCTAGACATTTAGTATTTACATGGACATGGTAAACCAAAACGGCAAAACAAATTATTTAATTTTGAACTAGCTCTTAATATAACAAATGAATAAAGTTGCATATAAATACTTGGCACTTGTTTATTTCGGTTTTTATATTAATATAATCTTGTTCGGAAGTTCTCAGCCCATGAGCCTGTGACTTGGCTTTGCCGATGACAGTTCCAGTGAGATGATAATAACAATTTGTGGCTATGTATGGCTAGCTTTTTAAATATACACTATAATTTCGCTATTCTCGATTAGTATAGCAATACATATATATGGGTATTCATGCGTGAATTATGAGGTAGTATATAGTAGTGCATGCAAGTAGTTCATTCTCGTTATTTACGACTAATTTTAATACTATGAAGACCTAATGCAAAATTCAATACAAATTGTTCAGTTTCCTATTCCTTGTTCCTGTATCCGTTTCAAGTTCGTCAGACTCTTTCACTGATTCATCTTCCCCACATACCAGTTTTTCCTGAAGCTTTTGTCGGTTTCTTCGTTGGCTTTATGTTTTTACCATTGCCCGCCTTTGATGACAATTTCTTTGATTTTCCTTTTGGGATTGCCGAGTCGGGAACAAAATCAATCTTCCTGCTCCATCTTGTTACTTCCATTCGTTCTGGAAACTGATGTATTCGATTGTTAAATTCTACGAAATGTGAACTAGTAACTTCACTAAGAACGAGGAAAATAAAAGTACTCGTCAGGGATAACTTCATCAGCAAACGCATTGTTCAATTCAAGGTGTATTCTGGATCAATTTACTCGAGTACTAATTTGAGTGCTTATTACATGTATAAAGGTGATAATTAATGGGGATATATATATATATATATACACTGAAAAAATACGTGGTAAAATTAGAAAACATGCACCCACAGAAAGTTATCTAGATAACATAGCGGTTCCATTTTTTAGAAAAAAAAAATAACGCCCTCGCTTTGTAATTAAGAGCAATTGACAAACACATAACAAACGTCATGTCGGGTGTATATTAAGAATTACTAATAATCTTAATTGCAGAGTGTTAAACAGGTCGATCTCATGTGTTTATTTCAGTGACCTCGACATTTTTGTCTCGATTTTGATCCATATCTTGGATTTTTAATATTCATCTATTTGGAATCTGTTTTATTTTATAGTTTTTCAAATCATTGTCTGGAAATGCCCGGACGACAAAATGGATTATGTCTGCCAAAATAATATTCTTTATCAGCCCTAAGCTATTGTAGTTCCGTGGGCATCAGTTCAATGAAGAAAGCAGCACATCATACCAGTGTTGTGTGTGAAAGCCGAAAAAAAGTTATTGCCAATTTTCTCAAGGCGTTCATAGGTTAACAGGGATTTCAAATGCCTGCACATGAGAACGAGGCTACATGTAAATCAGCTAAATATAGTCAGTGGCAAATATATGCTGACGTCAGCAAATGTTTCAAAATAATGTTTGTACGAATTCAATTGATCAATTCTATACATGTAATGATGAGTTAAGGTTTGGGGGTAATGTCTTATACAACATTGAGAAATTAAATTGGTCATTTTAGCTAAAATGCAGGTTTAGGGACTGTTTACATGATATCCCGCTTTTCCGGGAGGAGATGTGAGGCGGAATTATTTTGATGTATTGATATTAGGCTATCAGTCACGGTGTACGATTTAGCAAACCTACATGATTTTTCTAGTCATAGTCACATTATATTATAATTGACATGTAAACGAAAGGTTGTTCAAGCATTGACAATAATATTCTTGAACTATGAGATCTTCTCGACAACATTTGAGTTCTTTTAACCGGCGTTTGAATTAACTTTCGTTTAAGCCAAGTGATTTATTTCAATACATCAAAATTATCCCGCCTACCTGGCAAACGGGGGTCATTGTTTTTTGTAGATAAACGTGTTTTGTAGATAATTTTAGATAAAATATAAAAGTTATATTACTAGTTTGGTTAACTGCACTGTTGAATGTCAAAAAAGGTGAATTCGTGACAAGTGTTGTGATGAAAGACCGCCGAAAACAGTTGGTTTTATTCACAAAAAACAAAGACGGCACAAAAAACGGACGCGGGCGGTGATGATAAACCGGGATAGTTTTTTACATGGCCTTAGCCTTTAGGTCATGCATGTGTCTGTCTGGGATAGATGCTTTAAGCAATAAACATCTGCTCTGAGTTGATTGCGGGCGATTAGCGTGGTCATAAAACTGAATTGCAGAGCAAGCACATGCAAAAGAGCAGTGGCGCCCGCCAGTATTATATTTCGGGGGTGGGGGATAAACTGGGGGCAATTTTAGCGTGTTAGCATGATCCATTGAACAATTAGGAACCTTTAGGAATGAACTTCTCAAATCTCTATCTTTATAATATTCATCACTATTTAAAATATAACTTACTAACTCTTTGTATCCTTGTAAATATGTATAGCATCATGTATTCTATAGTCTCATAATTTTTTTGGGTCATATATATCCATATATACCAATATGTAAATACTGCACGCACACTATATATATATTTTCTATAATACTTTGTATTTTAATGTTTTGCAGGAACCATCTGAAAAACACTTCTTGTGATGTTGGTTTCCTGAATAATTATTATTATCATTCATTCATTCATCAGGGGGCATCAGAAACTAAAAAAGAATTTGGGATCTCTTTGGTGTAAAATAAGTCACCTTCAGCAGTGTGAAATATTGATTTCTGAATACTCGACAATTTCATCCAGGGAGAGACATAATTCACATACAGCTTTATAGATACGTGCAAGATACGCAACACTGTCTGTTGACAATTTTCCACCTCCTCCCCAATTTTTCAGCGAATTTGAACGAATGTAAATCTATTCTGCCCCTCTCCTTGGAGAAATAAAGAGTGTAATCCGCCACAGGAGAAGAATCGTCAAGTATCAAGAAAGAACACGAAAACTTTTAAAACCTCTTCAAAATTAGAAATATGTCTTAACTGAACTGTAATACTTTCTTTCAAGGATTTTATTTCCTTGTTTCGTTGTTGAAATATTTAGTTTTTCTAAGATATTAGTGCAATTAAAGGCACATCATATTGACGTTAATTATAAGTGTATATGCATAATATGACATTATGGAAAGCTTTATCTTTGTTATTTAAGCCAATCTTTGTTATCATGAAACGAAATTATTTGAAAGGTTCATCACGATTAATGCTGTTCAAAAAATAAATCTCACCTCACGTTGCGTATTCCAAGTGACTGCGTTTATACAAACGAAGGGAAAAAACCCGTTTATGGATCATTGTTTTACTGGATACAAAAACGAAATAATTCTAATTAAGAATGTTTTAAAATATAAACTAGTTTTAATAGTTTAGTCTAACAGTTTCAACAGTTTTAATTGGACTTTCGTTGATTGCTTCCTTTGTTGGGGTGGTATTGACCACCCAGGTGCCCGCTAACAAATCAGTGTACATATTTTCAGTGATACAGTGCTACAGCATTTCACTGGTATCCCCGGGAGATACAAGGCTAAGCGACGCCTTGATCTGCAACGAGTAGTAAGTATTCTGTCTGTCGTGAGTAGTGTTTCCGGAGGGTCTAAATTCCTGGCAAGTTCAATTTACAAGTTGGTGGTTGAGTATTAGAGTTTGGTTAGAACTTAGAAAACGAACCAGAGAAAACAGAGTAGTAATATACAGGCCGTTCGACCCCCTTTTTTGACAAATGAAATATTCAGTGAATGAGAGTGAGCAAATGAAATATTCAGTAAATGAGAGTGAGCAAATGAAATATTCAGTAAATGAGAGTGAGCAAGTGAAATATTCAGTAAATTAGAGTGAGCAAATGAAATATTCAGTAAATGAAAGTGAGCAAATGAAATATTCAGTAAAGGAAAGTGGACAAATGAAATATTCAGTAAATAAAAGTGGACAAATGAAATATTCAGTAAATGAAAGTGAGCAAATGAAATATTCAGTAAAGGAAAGTGGACAAATGAAATATTCAGTAAATGAAAGTAAACAAATGAAATATTCAGTAAAGGAAAGTGACAAATGAAATATTCAGTAAATGAAAGTGGACAAATGAAATATTCAGTAAAGGAAAGTGACAAATGAAATATTCAGTAAATGAAAGTGGACAAATAAAATATTCAGTAAATGAAAGTGAGCAAATGAAATATTCAGTAAAGGAAAGTGGACAAATGAAACATTCAGTAAATGAAAGTGAACAAATGAAATATTCAGTAAAGGAAAGTGACAAATGAAATATTCAGTAAATGAAAGTGGACAAATGAAATATTCAGTAAATGAAAGTGAGCAAATGAAATATTCAGTAAATGAAAGTGAGCAAATGAAATATTCAGTAAATGAAAGTGAGCAAATGAAATATTCAGTAAATGAGAGTGAACAAATGAAATATTCAGTAAATGAAAGTGAGCAAATGAAATATTCAGTAAATGAAAGTGAGCAAATGAAATATTCAGTAAATGAAAGTGAGCAAATGAAATATTCAGTAAATGAGAGTGAACAAATGAAATATTCAGTAAATGAAAGTGAGCAAATGAAATATTCAGTAAATGAAAGTGAGCAAATGAAATATTCAGTAAATGAAAGTGAGCAAATGAAATATTCAGTAAATGAGAGTGAACAAATGAAATATTCAGTAAATGAAAGTGAGCAAATGAAATATTCAGTAAATGAAAGTGAGCAAATGAAATATTCAGTAAATGAAAGTGAGCAAATGAAATATTCAGTAAATGAGAGTGAACAAATGAAATATTCAGTAAATGAAAGTGAGCAAATGAAATATTCAGTAAATGAAAGTGAGCAAATGAAATATTCAGTAAATGAAAGTGAGCAAATGAAATATTCAGTAAATGAGAG